GGAGGGAGGTCTGGCCTGGGCGGGTGCCCGTGTTCGCGTGTGCGCGCGCGAGTGAGTGAGAGGGACCGCACGTTGAGACCCAAAGGGGGAGGAGAGGAAGACCAAGAAGGGAAGAGAGGTTAGATGGGCGCCCCCCCCTCCTCGGGAGCCCATCGCGGGCATCTCGTCCACTCCCACCTTTGTCTGAACTGGGGGGGGGCAATTACTCTTTGCCCCTCCAAAATAGTCCTCCCTTCCCCCCTTTCTTTCTTTCTTTCTTTCTTTCTTTCTTTCTTTCTTTCTTTCTTTCTTTTTTTTTGCTTTGCTTTAAAGGAGGGAATCGATGCAACTCCTGTGGCAAGTTCGCGTCCCGCGTCTGCTCCAGGAAGGGCAGGGGATTGACACGTGTGACCTCCAAACGTGAGAAGCGCCCTTGCCCGGACGTTTGAACCTCTTTCCTTTTTTTACTTGAGCTTTGGGTCTCGCGCGGAAAGGTTCTTTCTTTCTTTCTTTTTTTTTGCTTTGCTTTAAAGGAGGGAATCGATGCAACTCCTGTGGCAAGTTCGCGTCCCGCGTCTGCTCCAGGAAGGGCAGGGGATTGACACGTGTGACCTCCAAACGTGAGAAGCGCCCTTGCCCGGACGTTTGAACCTCTTTCCTTTTTTTACTTGAGCTTTGGGTCTCGCGCGGAAAGGGCTGCTGCCTTCCAACTTGATAGACTTTTTCCCAGGTTAGAATCCGGCGTCCATCACCTGAAGGCCAGAGGCAAGCAAGGCCGCCTTGGAGGTGTCCTGAAGTGAAACCTGCTTTTGTTGTTGTTGTTGTTGTTGTTGTTGTTGTTGTTGTTGTTGTTGTTGTTGTTGTTGTTGTTGTTGTTGTTGTTGTTGTTGTTGTTGTTCCTTTCGAATTTTATTTCACGTACAGGTTTTCGGGTGTGCGTACAAGGCTGGCACTCTTTCACTCTCGATAGGCTATATAGTGGGGTAACAATGTGATTTGAACGTGATGCCAGTATTATTTTTAGTACAGTATTTGTTGGATTCTTTGAAATATTTGTATCTTTACTGTTTTTAGTTTTTAATTACTGGCTTTTAATGATGTTAGCTGCCTTGAGTCCTTCTTAAGGAGAAAGGTGAGGTAAAAATAGTTAAATAAACAAACATTTAAAGTAAATAAATAAATAAATAATATTGCACCTAAAATGTCATTTTCAGCGTTGGTTGTGTAAGCATTCTTACTGACTTAATTGCTGTGTGCTTTTGACCATGATGGCCAGATGCTTCCTCTGGTCTTCTTTCCCCATATATGTCCTCCCCAAAGTACTGTGAGGTTAACTGTTTAGGCCAAGAAAATGTTGCTTCATGTCTAAGTTGGTATTTGAACCCATATCTCTCAAATGCCTGGCTGACACTCTAACCATTATACAGTGGTGCCTCGCATAGCGTTCCGGATTAACCTTCGCTATGCTGAAGCATCGTTAAATGGTACAGAAAAGCCCATTTGGTTCCAAATGGGCCAAATACTCACCGTTTAACGAAGCTTCGTAATGGCCGGCAGCCATTTTCGCGCCCTCGCCTCGCTTAACGAGGGCGCGAAAACGCTGCGGGCGGCCATTTTAGGCCATTTCCCGGCTTCCGGCGGCCATTTTGGCCGCCGAACAGCTGATCGGCGGGGGTCGTTTTGCGAAGATCGGTAAGCGAAACGCTTACCGGTCTTCGCAAAGCGAATTTTTCCCTATGGGAAAAACGTTGTGCGATCGCATTAGCGATCCGAAAAAACGGATCGCTATGCGATTTAATCGTTATACGGTGCGCTCGTTAAGCGAGGCACCACTGTATTACACTAGATCTCTGCATTGTGTTAAGTATGTTTACTCCATTGCACACTGGCTTGTGACAGTTAATCAAGTGTTTTATTAAAATGTACTGTATTTATTATTTATTTATTTATTTATTTGATTTATATCCCGCTCATCTGGTAAATCTATACCACTCTGAGCGGCTAACAGGAACATATATACAATTATAATAAAATAAATTAAAAATATCAATTAACAGAAAATGACAAAAATCATAAATAATCGTAAATAATAAATAGATAAAGAAGAGAAAAATAAATTAAGTTAGATTAGGTGCTGGCAGGAGGGAAGGCCTTGACATAGAGCCATGTTTTTAATTGAGTTTTGAATGTACCCAGCGTAGGGGCCGCGCAAATCTCAGGAGGGAGATTGTTCCAAAGGCGAGGAGCCACCGCCGAGAAGGCCCGGTTTCGTGTCTTCTCCCTCCGGGCCTCCCTCGGCGTCAGGCTCCTCAGCCTCACCTCCTGGGTCGCGTGGGTGGTCTGGGTAGAACTTGGTGGGTGAAGGCGTTCCGCCTGTATATGTATATGTTGCAAAATATCTGTATAGATTGTTTCAGTCATGTCCAGACTTTGAAAAGGTCACCCATCTGGGATAACAGTTCACTGAATTTGCCCAGTCAGCATGACTGGCCACTGCTGTGTCAGCTGCGGAAGGCTGGCCGATGTAGTTCACAAATGTAACTTTCCAAGCTGTGGCAAGGAATCGGGAAACTAGGCTCAGCAGCCCTATGTATCTCAGATCATTAGCCTCTACCCATATGAGCATGTGCACCAACTAAGGTCATCTGGAGGTGCCCTTCTAAAGGTGCCAACCCTCAAAGGAGTCTACCTTAGTGTAGTCAAAAATGATCTTTCTGCATCGTTGCCCCTCATGCTGTGGAATTGCCTGTGAAGTATGACATCCCTGCGGGGATTCCAGAGGGTATGTATGTAAGGTGTTGTAAGTTTACTTATTATATTCCCTTCTTCTCTCCCAAGAGAACCAGAACAGTAATAAAAGTTGTAATTCTGGTGGGTCTTCAAACTCTAGGAACTGCTGTCCCACTTCTTATATGGAATGCATTGTTATATGTTAAAATTTACACAGTTTACATATTTTTATTTTATTTTACTTCTTCACTTTTATGCCATTTTTTATTGTTAGCCACCCAGAGTAGACTTGGGTCTAAATGGGCGGGGTATACATTTAATTAACTAAAATAAATAAATAAATAAGTAAATAAATTGCTAGGTTTTATTTCATTTCATTATTTACATCGAATACAGCATTTTATTGTTATGCATATTCCTTTTCTGTTGTATGCTGTTCTGGGTCTCTTGGGAGAGAAGAATGGAATATAATAAGTAAACTTCTGCCAGTGGTTTCATGTATATGTTAAATAGTATAGGGAACAGACCAAAACTTTGAGAGACCCCATAGGCCAGTGGCCAGGCTAGTAACCGGGAGTTCCCCAGGACTATCTTCTGAGCTTGCCTCTCCAGGAAGGACTGGAACCACCACAAAACTGTCCGCACCCCATCCCAGAAAGGCCATTAGAATAAAAGTGAGGCAGCAGCTTTGAGGCCAGTCTTTGGGTGTCATGAAGAGATGGCAATTGCTGCTTATTTTATTTATTATGCTTGCATTTTTACTGCTAGGGAGCAGGAGAGGCACTTGTGGGATTTCTGTGTGTTGGGGATAATAAGATTGGCCTGAGGGGTTGTGTTCCTTGATTTGGAGGGTGGGATGAGATGACATCTATTGTTGCCTCAAGCAGTAAAATGTCCTGGGCTAGCCCACTTGAGAAGGGCTGATAAGGACAAAGTGTGGTTAATGCTAACCTTTATTTTGCACGGTACCATGCCAAGTTAATTATCTCAGTGATAATTGGCTCCACTTTTGTATTATTTTTAATTCGTGCTGCTTATATTCCGCCCCATGGCACTGAAAGCACTCTCTGTTCAGTTTACATTTTAATTATACAGGCTGCACTTTGCTGCCCCCCCATGACCTGGGTACTTATTTTACCAACCCCAGAAGGATGGAAGGCCGAGTCATCCTTGAGATCCGTTGGGATCATTTCAGTAGATCCATTTGGATGTTCCACAATAAGTCAAGACTATGAAAGAAGACATGAATTGGAAACAAGGACCTAAGCAAGGGCCAGATGGCCCCTCCTAGATGTTATTCCTTTCAATTCCTTGAGTTGAATTTTGAGCTAATAAAAAGCTGATGGGTGCCAAACAAGTGGGGGTGGGTGGGGTCAAAGAAAACCTTGGCTATTTTGTTTTACTTAAAAAAAAAGTTGGCCAGGAGTAAAAACTGTTCAGGCAGCATTTATGGAATGTCCAACACCACCAGAATCCTGCAGAGGAATTGTGTCTCCTTCATAAACACAATCAAATGTCAAGAGAGAAGCATCTTTTGTTAAACTCTTACTGGAAAACACAATACGAGGAAAGGGCTGGGAGCAGAAAACGAAAACTATTCTGCTAATGACGTATGAATACGGAGCTCCATACAGCAAATCTCTGTCACAATGAATTTGGTGAGCAATGATGGGACTTCAATTAGATATGACAAACACATTCATCTTGTATATTTCTCCAGTAAAAACTCCCATTGACGTCAATGAGGTTTGATCTCAAGTAGGTATGTTTAGTGCGCCATCGTACAATGCAAACATCACACAAAGAAGCA